CTCTGGAAGGCCATCCAGCACGTAGTTAACGGACTGTACCTTCTTCGGGCTTCTCGATCCCACAGAGTTTGGAGGTACACCACCAACGTCTGAGGACCCTGCCCACGTCCCAGAAACGCCCCCCGCTGGTCGTCAAGCACATCGTGAGAACCTCCAAGCGAGGCCTTCGAGTTGTTGAACCACTCCCGAACGGCTCCAGGGATGTCTTTCCTGAGGGATCTGGTCGGGCCCCCACCTCTAGTCGACCTTCTCGGGTGCCAGATGCGGGACGCAGCAGGGGACCACGGGGAACTTCTTGAACGTCGTGGGCTTCCTGAAACAGGCCTTCGACACGGACACGTGCACGTGTGGCGACGACGGAGCCTCGACCAGGGCTATAACCTTGTGGAGACAGTGCCTGAGGACCTTGGCGCCTACGAGGAAGTCGATCTCTCTCTCTCTCTCTCTCTCTCTCTCCCCACCTTGACCCACGTCTCCGTCCCGTCCTCCCACATTTCCTCATGCCTGGTGTATGACGTGGGCGCGTGGGGCCGAAAGATCGCGCCTACGACCGTGTCGAGCCAGCCCGACTCAGCCAGCTCCGCTGGCGTGCAGTTCCAGTCGCCCTGGATCACCCACGGGGCGCCCTGGCCGGAGAGAAACACCGCGAGTCCTTGGAGGAGCTTCCAGTTCCCTGGCCCCTTCGGGCCTTCCTTCACGTCCAGGTAGATCGAGACTACCAGGAGGCCCCCAGGGAAACCGACATTGACCCGACGGACGACCACGCGTTGGCAGAATTACGACAGGGGCTCTGCCAGAGCCACGGAGCACGAGGGCATATGAGACTGCACCGCAATGGCGACGCCTCCAGGGCTCTCCGTCGGCCCAGGGCCTGTCGAACTTGCACGTCCTGGCTGGACCGCAAGTCGCTGACTGCCCATCGGGTGAGGGGGGCGAGGAGGAGGAGGAGGAGGAGGAGGAGGAGAAGGAAAAGGAAGAAGAGGAGGAAAAGGATGAGGAAGAGGAGGAGGGGGAGGAGGAAAAGGAGGATGGGGCAGGGGGAAGGGGAGGACGAGGGCGGGGGGTGGGGGACGGGTGGACTGGGGGGGGGTGCGGAGCGAGGACTGAGCTCGGGGGATCGAGGAGGATCGAGGAGGATCGAGGAGGATCGAGGAGGAAGAGGAGGAGGAGGATCGAGGATACACTTTGGCCTCTTTGAGGCCTCCAGAGGCCTCCCGGGGGCATCCTGGACGCTATTTTCCCTTTGCCCCCTCGAGGTTCGATGAGGATCGAGCTCGGAGGATACAAGTCTGTTGGACGGATCTGGTAGAGGTCTGGCCTCCTGAGGCCCCACGGAGCCTCCGGGGGGCACTTTGGGATGCTGTGTTGCGCGCAGTCGCTGCGCTGCCCACCCTCTCCGTCCTCATCCTTCCGCCCTCGCCCCCCGTGCTCTCCCTTGGGGCGGCGACGGCAGCGGTCGGATCGCGCTTTGCCCCGTCCCTCTCCTCTCCTCCCGTCCTCCCGTCCCGTTTCTCTTCCCTCCTCTCTCGGAGGTGAGCTCGGCCCAGAGGCTGGATCTTTTTGTTGGGGGGAGGTATCCTGTCGGTGGGCCCCGCACGCGATGGCGCCCGTCGTGCGGGGAGCAAGAATTTATCCTCGGAGGGGTACCCCTCATCCCGTTTGTCTTCGCTCCCCCCTGATATGTTTCCTCGATGTGCAGTGAACCTCCCTCTTCTCTGCTTCCTTGACCTCCCAGACACCGATCCCTCGCTATCCCCATTCCCCTTTTCTTCCCTCTCCCTCTCCCTTCTCCCTTTCCGTTCCCCTCCCTCCCCTCCCTTCTCTGTTGTTCCCGTCTTTGTTTCTCATCTACCCCGTTCTTCCTCGTCCGTTCGTCCTCCTCATCCTCCTCTCCATCCTCCTTTTTCTCGTACTCGTGATTATTATCCTCATTCGCATGTCCCTCCTCATACGCATTATGCTCCTGATTGTCCTCTCCTTCTGCTTCCCTCTCGTCGTTGTCAACATCATCATCCCCTTCCCGGCGATCCTACTTCGTCAACCTCTCCCTCATCCGCCTCCACTTGCTGCTGCTGTTGCTCCCCCTCATCCTCCGTCTCCCTCCATTCCCTTTACTTGTCTCTCAATCCCCCTCCCCGCATCCTTTCACGGCGATCGCTTGAAGCATGCATGTTTGGACTCTTAGATTCCAGTGTGTACTGGGCGCCTTCCTACTTCGAGAGTCGAGTGGTTTTCCTTCGTCCCTCCCTCCAGGGGGGGCGGGCGGAGGCCCAATCCGCTGTCACCGCCTTCCTGCCTCACGCGTTCTCGACCCACGCCTGCCGACCGCGGGGAGTACGCTTCCCCAGAGGTCGCCCGCGGGGGCGCAGATCGGCCCGCGACAGAGGCTCGGCGATCGAGAGCCGTCGCGCCCGGCTCGCGAGCCGCGCCGCGGCCTGGGCGCCCGACAGATCTGACCGCTACGGACGAGGAGGAGGAGGAGGAGGAGGAGGAGGAGGAGGAGGAGGAGGAGGAGGAGGAGGAGGAGGAGGGAGGAGGAGGAGGAGGAGGGGGAGGAGGAGGGAGGGAGGAGGGGGAGGAGGGAGGAGGGAGGAGGGAGGAGGAGGAGGAGGAGGAGGAGGAGGAGGAGGAGGAGGAGGAGGAGGGAGGAGGAGGGAGGAGGAGGAGGAGGAGGGAGAGGAGGAGGAGGAGGGAGGAGGAGGGAGGGAGGAGGAGGGAGGAGGAGAGGAGGAGGAGGAGGAGGAGGAGGGAGGAGGAGGAGGAGGAGGAGGAGAAGGAAGGAGGAGGAGGAGGAGGCGGAGGAGGCGGAGGAGGCGGAGGAGGTGGAGGAGGCGGTGGCGGAGGCGGAGGCGGAGGCGGAGGGGAGGAGGAGGGGAGGCGGAGGCGGCGGAGGAGGAGGAGGAGGAGGAGGAGGAGGAGGAGGAGGAGGTGGAGGTGGAGGTGGAGGGGAGGTGGAGGGAGGTGGAGGAGGAGGAGGAGGAGGAGGAGGAGGAGGAGGAGGAGGAGGGAGGAGGGAGAGGGAGGAGGGAGGAGGGAGGAGAGGAGGAGGAGGAGGGAGGAGGGAGGAGGGAGGAGGAGGGGGAGGAGGGAGGAGAGGAGGAGGAGGAGGAGGCGGAGGAGGAGGAGGAGGAGGAGGAGGAGGAGGAGGAGAGGAGGAGGAGAGGAGGAGGAGAGGAGGAGAAGAGGAGGAG